TGGGATAACAAAACAATATATCAAAGAATAATTCATTTCAGGGTAACTTCAATATTTCTATTATTAATCCAGTAGAAGGCATTGCATATAACTTGAAGATGCATTACAGATCTAACAGACCCATGTTTATTTTTCATAATTTAACTTATCATAGGGCAAGTGGAAAATGTTTTCAGGATCAGTATCAGTAATAAATTTAGATGTGAAATCTTAATTTCTATTCTCTGCATGTATCTGTACCCTTGATCTAGATTTCATAGTACATAGAGTTCTGCCAACATGTTGCAGTTGACAAATGGGGTAAATAAAAAGCTGTGCTACGCTTTGTGCAATTAATATATGGCTGATTGCAAAGATCTTTTTAATAAAGGTCAGCAAACTTGTTTATAAAATTAATAACTATAAATATTGTGCAACAATTTATTTCTATGTCACAGCAGAGAATTACACAGGATAGCGACTCTTATCTGAATTGCTAAACATAGGTAGGGACAAACATTTTCCTAACAACTTTTCTTGTCTAAAACTCTACAGTCATTAGTCAGTGTAAAATATAGATACCAACTGTAGCCAGCCTCCAGAATTATCAAAAGTGAATACAGGATACAATTGCATATATAGGAACACAGGCGTGCGCAGCCTATTGTATAAGGGTGTGCACCCTAAAGCAGAAACACACACGCCGCGTATACATATATATATATATATATATATATACATATATATGTATATATATATATATATATATATATATACATACTCATACATGCACACACTGCTGTGTGTAGATGCTGTGTGTGTGCAGGCGCTGTGTGTGTGCAGGCGCTGTGTGTGAAGGCGCTGTGTGTGTGTGCAGGTGCTGTGTGTGAAGACGCTGTGTGTGTGTGCAGGCACTGTGTGTGTGAAGGCGCTGTGTGTGAAGGCGCTGTGTGTGTAACGGTGCTGTTAGTGTGTGCTGTGTGTGTGTATGTGTAAGGGTGCTGTTAGTGTGTGCTGTGTGTGTGTATGTGTAAGGGTGCTGTTAGTGAGTGTGTGTGTGTGTGTGTGTGAGGGTGCTGTGTGTGTAAGGGTGCTGTTTGTGTGTGCTGTGTGTGTGAGGGTGCTGTTAGTGTGTGTATGTGTAAGGGTGCTGTGTGTGTAAGGGTGCTGTTAGTGTGTGCTGTGTGTGTGCTGTGTGTAAGGGTGTTGTTAGTGTGTGCTGTGTGTGTGTATGTGTGAGGGTGCTGTGTGTGTAAGGGTGTTGTGAGTGTGAGGGTCCTGTTAGTGTGTCTGTGTAATGGTGTTGTTAGTGTGTGCTGTGTGTGTGTAAGGGTGCTGTGTGTGTGAGGTTGCTGTGTGTAAGGATGCTGTTAGTGTGTGCTGTGTGTGTGTATGTGTGAGGGTGCTGTGTGTGTAAGGGTGTTGTTAGTGTGAGGGTCCTGTTAGTGTGTCTGTGTAAGGGTGCTGTTAGTGTGTGCTGTGTGTGTGTATGTGTGACGGTGCTGTGTGTGTAAGGGTGTTGTTAGTGTGAGGGTGCTGTTACTGTGTGTGTGCAAGGGTGTTGTTAGTGTGTGCTGTGTGTGTGTAAGGGTGCTGTGTGTGTGTGAGGGTGCTGTGTGTAAGGGTGCTGTTAGTGTGTGCTGTGTGTGCGTATGTGTGAGGGTGCTGTGTGTGTAAGGGTGCTGTTAGTGTGAGGGTGCTGTTAGTGTGTGTGTGTGCTGTGTGTGTAAGGGTGATGTATGTGTGTGTGCTGTATGTTCGTGTGTAATGTGTGGGGGCCGTTTAGTTAATATCCCCCCTCCCTTCTTACCTTATGTAGGGAGGGGGGACCGTGCTCCTGCCTTCCCTGGTGGTCCAGTGGAGAGTGAACTCTAGCCCCCTGTGGGGCTAGAGTTCACTCTCGCGAGATCTGAGCGTTGCCGCGGTAACCGCGCAAAAGGAACCCGGCGGAGCTGCTGGCAAGAGCTCCCCGGGTCCTCTCCTGCCTCCCTCCCTGCCTGTGGGTTGGTGAGGGAGATCTTTGATGCTTCCCCAACAACTAGAATACAGGAGGGACACTGCCTCCATTCCCTCCTGCCAGCCCATAATGATAAGTGTGTGTGTGTGTGTGACTGTCTGCCTGTGAATATGACTGTCTGCACATGTGTGTGTGTGTGACTGTCTGCCTGTGTGTATGACTGTCTGCATGTGTGTGAGTGAGACTGTCTGCCTGTGTGTGTGACTTTCTGCCTGTTTGTGACTTTAACTGTGTGTGACTATAGATGTATGTGACTGTGTGACTGACTGCCTGTGTGTGACTGTAACTGTGTGTGATTACCTGTGTGTGACTGTAACCGTGTTACTGTAACTTTGTGTGACTTTCTGCCTGTGTGTGACTATAACTGTGTGTGACTATACCGTGTGTGACTGTAACCGTGTGTGACTGTAAGTGTGTGTGACTGTAAATGTGCCTTTGTGTGTACTTGTGTTTGTGTGTGACTGCAACTGTGAGTGACTGTCTGACTGTACCTGTGTGTGGCTGTCTGCCTATAACTGATTGTGTGCGTGTGTGCATGCCTGTCTCCCTCTGCCTGTGTGCATGACTGTCTACCTGTGACTGAGTGTGTGTTACTGTCTGCTTGTGACTATGTGTATGTGACTGCCTGCCTGTAACTGTGTGTAACTGAGTGCCTGTAACTGTGTGTGACTCTGTCTGTAACTGAGTGTGTCTGTGTGACTGTCTGCCTTTAACTGAGCCTGTGTGACTTTCTGCTTGTAACTGTGTGTAGCTGTCTGCCTGTGACTGTGTGTGACTGTCTGCCTGTAAATGAGTGTGTGACTGTCTGCTTGTAACTGTGTGTGTGTGTGTGTGTGTGACTGTCTGTTGGTACCTATGTGTGGGACTGTATGCCTGCAACTGAGTGTGTTTGACGTCTGCCTGTAATTGGGTATCACAGTATTATGTGACCTACTTAGTCTGCCCCTCTGTAATGCATGGGAGGCAGTCTGATACGTCTGGCCTGCACTTCTATTGGCTGCAGACCATAAGTAGCTGTCTTCCAAGCTCCGACAAATCCGTGCATTGCTGTGGATTGAAGCCTTGACACTGTAAATGCCTGAGCTAACGGGACAGTTACTCATAGTCTGCACCTGGTGAAGTGTGCAGACCAGGTTCCCAGTGTTATGGGCAAATGCAAATATTACAAGTTTTAGAATGAAATGTTGTATTTCTTAAACTGTGTATGTTGTCTTTAAGAGATATTGCAAACTGACAAGGTGTTAGAAATGGAACATATTGTTTTTCATAACTGTTTAAGCAATAACCTCTTACCCAATATAGCAATAATATGTTTACGCCATCTTGTCCCAGACAAATTACAATAACAATAATGCATAAACAAGCTTCAAGGCTATGCTATGACTCTTTCAGTACACAATATACTGTGGTAACCTTAAGTGGATAAGGATGTTCAGACTTTAAGATGCCATCTTGACCTAAGTCAGGAAAATTTCCATGACGTATACACCCTTTAGTTATGGACTTGTATTTTTGCCAAGTTAAGGTAGGTCCTAAAATTAATAAATTAAAAAAGTTACTTTTTCATATATGAACTACGGTGACCCCAAAATGATGACACCTAAGGTAAATAGGTGTACTTTTAAATGCTAAGGAACAGAGGAGAGACTTGGAGACAGATGCTGCTCCATCTTAAAATGACAGAGAGGCTGACATGATGACATGTTCAGAAGGGTATGTTAACCTATTTAATCTTATAAAGTTTAATCTTATAAACTCTGCTATATGGATTTTATATGTCTATATTTATATTTTTGTATAATAAATATCTAAAAGACAAAACTTTATTGCTTCCAAGACAATCCTTATTTTATATTGTATTTTCAATTATTTATATATGTTAAATAGAGGATCTCCTACTAACTATATAAAATTATGGCTAAGATATCTGTATGGTTAGCCCTACTAAGTTCTATGCTTTAAGACGTTATAGTGGTAAATAAGGGAACCCGCTGCGGTTACAATTGGCGACCATGAAGGGACATTGTACTTGGAAGCTTTAATTATAAAATAATAAATACCTAGGTAACCTCTTATACGTAAGAAAAGACACAATACTTTTTTCATGGCACAAGTCTTGAAATATCAAGAATCTATTGAACTATTTGTAGCCCAGACTCAGAGAGAGATCATCATTAGAGATGATTGACTGGAACACCAGAGATCAACATCCCCCCCTCACTGCAAGGTAACAGGAAAGGGGGAATGAATATTTGTTTTTAAATCATTATTAGTTTAATAAATTCTCTATAAAATCACTACACCCCTATACACACACACAAACATGGATGAAGGTGTATGACGGAGGAGGATGGGGGCTTTAAAGATTTTTCCCACAGGGTGCCTAATGGCCTAAGCCCAGCCCTGATTACTATATTGTATTTTTAATGATAATTCTGATAGCCTGAGGGTTTAAGCTAACTCCATTCCTAAGCAGTCTGGGAAGTAAAAATAGAGATGGTGCCCAGTTTCCCTATAATACTCATGTGAAGAGAAGTTGATATAATTGCCAGAGTTAAAGAAACACTCAAAGCTACTACAACCTGGATTTCCTTCCATTGCAAGGAGTCAAAGTATTTTGGTTTTTTTTTTGTCAATCTTTTTTTCCCCCCATACAAGTATTATACAGGCTTACGAATCCACAACAGCTTTGTCAAGCATTGCAAATGCAAGTGAGATTACTCAATGTCATGGTATGTAAAGAAGTTTCACAGCATTTAACTATAACATGTCAAGCTAGGTATAAATGTCTAATTTGAAGGGCATCACTGAGACAGTCAGGCTGATAATATCAATTAGACATGTAAAGGTTAAAGTTGGAAACTTATCCTGCTATATGCAGGCCAGGCCAACAATCTAAGTTGAAAGCCCATGAGATTACACAAAGGGAGCTAAACAGACATGTCGGCCTGACCAGAGAAAAGTCTAAAGATTTATAAACCATGAGGCCCGGTGTTCCGGCACACTGTGCTAATGTTGCATCACATATAGTATAACTAAAACGATAAATGGGCCAAATGTAGTGATGTCCCGAACGGTTCGCTGGCGAATAGTTCCTGGCGAACATCGCTTGTTCGCGTTCGCCACGGATGGCGAACATATGCGCTGTTCGGTCCGCCCCTATTCGTCATCATTGAGTAAACTTTGACCCTGTACCTCACAGTCAGCAGACACATTCCAGCCAATCAGCAGCAGACCCTCCCTCCCAGACCCTCCACCTCCTGGACAGCATCCATTTTACATTCATTGTGAAGCTGCATTCTTAGTGAGAGGAGGGACAGTGTAGCTGCTGCTGATTTGATAGGGAAATTGATAGCTAGGCTAGTGTATTCAGTGTCCACTACAGTCCTGAAGGACTCATCTGATCTCTCTGACCTCACTACCCCCACACCCTCAGCCTCACTACCCCCCAAACCACTCCCAGCCTCACTACCCCCACACATCCCTCAACCTCACCACTCCCAGCCTCACTAACCCCCACACCCTCAGCCTCACTAGCCCCCACACCCTCAGTCTCACTACCCCCCCACCACCCTCAGCATCACCACCCCCCACACCACCCTCAGCCTCACTACCCCCCCCCCCCCCCCCCCCCCCCCCCCCCCCCCCCCCCCCCCCCCCCCCCCCCCCCCCCCCCCCCCCCCCCCCCCCCCCCCCCCCCCCCCCCCCCCCCCCCCCCCCCCCCCCCCCCCCACCACCCTCAGCATCACCACCCTCAGCATCA